AAGTCGAACAGTAGAGAATCGCGATGAACGGGTAAGAGCGAGCTGATTAAGCGCAAAGGGGCCTCATAACCTGTTGAAATAGACACCCTGGAGACAATGTAGTTGGAAAGGATTGAGTGTCATTTCACTAAGAGAAAGAGAAAAGAGAAAAAGAGGAAAGACTAACCTGGAGACAATGTAGTTGGAAAGGATGAAGAAAAAGAGATCCTTTCCAACTCAGTTGTCTCCAGTATAAGAGAGAAATGAAAACAAGATGAATGTCACAAAGTGTGACATGTGAGAAATGAAAAAGGAGAAAGAAGCACAAAACAATAGCGCTATGTAAAGTACGCTACATAGATAGCTCAACAAGATTGAATTTGGATTTCTATCAACTCTCTTCTTCCTTATACCAAGAACTCCCCCTTCCAATTTTTTTGCTTGTTTGTTCAATATTCAGTGTTCAATTTAGATAAGCCTGCTTTTCACTTATGTGACTTTAATCCATTTGCAGTGATCATAGATTGTTTGAATAATCCTTATGAATGCATATCTAAAAAATGCATTTCTGGAATACAGAAAGTAAACTGCCTGGAAAAATTTCATCCCTATGCAACTAATACATTTTGAGACTTAAAAAAAATTGACTTGATGGATGGGCAAAATGAAAATGATTTTAAAGAGCCACAAAGTCCAATATTTACAAGAAATGTTTACTTTCTTACCAATTGTACTTGAAAATCATTTCCTATTCACAAATTAAAACTTGTTTTCATCAAGCCAAAGCATTTCAGTGGGAAATGGGAATATTTGAGTTGGTTATCAGGTCTAGTAGAAATAAACTGATCCCAAATATTATAGAAATGACCCAGCTCAATTTTAGCTGGGTGAGCTGAATGTGAGCTGGGTGAACTGGATTGGAGCCAGGTGAGCTGGATAAACTGCAAACCCCATCCCTAATCCCTAACCCTAATCTCTATCCCTAACCCTGAAATCTAACCCCTAACACTAATCCCTAATTCCTAAACCCAACCCCCAAACCTAACTTCTAAACCTTGTCCCTTAAACTTATCCCTAACCCCTAACCCCTAACCAGGGTGGGATTTGAACCCAAAACATCAGCTTCTCTGACACAGCTGTCAATTGGAAGTTGCACACGGCCTACTGCAACACTTGATGGAAGAAGGCCCCCTCTAGTCAGGTGCTGCAGCACACTGCACAAAACAATGGGCTGTCAGCTGTGTGAGATTGTTATTGAATTTATTAATTGAGTCAATCAGCCCAACTGTTCAATAGAGTATATATATTCATTACAACAATCATTTGTGTCAGCCTCTGTGTAACTAAGATGAGGTATTTATCAATGATAGTTTTTACTGTGAGTGTTCACTGAAGTTTTGAGCATGGTGAGTGGTAGTTAGTGGGTGTAAATACCAGTCCTGTAATGAGGAGGTTTCACTCTATCAGTATGGTCTTCACTGAGAGGCTTGCTATCAACAGCCCATCCAGATCAATACAAGGTATCAATAGGCATCCAGGGTAATAGTACTCACCTGGGATATCTATTAATGCACAATCAAAATCATGTTTTTTTTTTTGATTCTTTCTTTTCTTTAAAAAAAAAAGATTGATCAGCTTCCAATTATCAGAGCAACTTCAGTGGAACATTCCTCCTCCTATGAAAATATGCCAGCGGAAATGGCAGTCATCAGTATGTATCACAAGTTTTCTCCAGTTCAGGTTAGATAAAAAAAACACACATTCTTATTTCAATCAAAGTGCACTTTCTACATATCATATTGGCTAATTAATTACTCAGACTATGTAATTATTTGTAACATGAATTGTCTGCCTTGAACTAATTATATGCCAAGAGCAGGTCTTTTACACAATTGGCTCCATATATGAACAGTTGTATGTATGAACCATGAAATGGAACTGGATGTTTATCTTGTGTCCAAGTATGCATTTGATTAGTCAGGATGTAAAACAGAAAAGGAAAAATTCTGATTCTTTCTGATTTCTACCTCAAATACCAGATCATCTACCACTGTAGCAGAATATGATATGATAATTTTCATCACAGAAACCCTCACCAGAAAGCTTCTTGGGAATTTTGAGGGGGAGGAAACCCTCCCCAGAAAACTGCTTGGGCAGTTTTTGAGGGGGAGGAAGAAATGGAAGGAGAAATTGTTTTTTTTTTTTTCAAAAAAAAAAAAGAAAAAAAAAGATGATAAGAGATAAGAATTTAAATTTTTACTGAAACCCAAGGCTGATCTATACCAATCCAGTCAAATCCTGGAATATAACCACTTCAATCTACTAAGTTGAGGGGTGGATTCCATGATTCCATTTGTTTTGAAGAAACCTTCTTCCTCTTCCAGAAACGTATTAGCAGATACTCTCTCTAAATATTCCCAGACCCCCTCCACCTTTAATAGGGGGTATCTTAATAGGGGGTATCAAATATAGGAAATCCACCATTAGAAACCAGTCGCTTTTACAAAATAAAATGCATCAATGGGCCCCAAAAGGGGTTAAATAAAGAACCAAAATGTTTAAAGAGGGCCTTAATTAAAAAACACGGTTTTTCTGCTTTAGACGTGGTTTCTGCTGCGCGCCGCAGACACGGTTTCCGCGTTTGGACGCGGTTTCTTGATTAATTTATTTTTGCCATTAATTTTAGTTTTTTTTTTTAAGTTTTTAAAACTGTTTCCAAGGTTAAAAAATGTGTAGAATTTAATGGTGAAGTCCATTTTCCAATAAAATGACTTTTGATTATTATTATTTTTTTCCACTTATTTTTCAATTAATTGTTTGCATGCATGTATGTACCTTATTTTTTATGTTTTTTTTGTAACTTTCAAGTTTTTTCCCACATTATTGAGTGTGTAGAAATTTATGATGAATTTCAATTTTCATAAAAATGAATGGTCCATTTTTAATAATGCAATTACACCCATTTTTTTACTTAAATTTTTACAGCTTAATTTTCATTCCTTTTTGACATTTTAATTTTTTTTCCTAAACTTTCAGACATGTATAAAGTTATGGTAAAAATTATTTTGACTCAAAATACTGCATTTGACACCGTTTTTTTATTTAATTCTTCAATTTTTCACTCAATTGTTTGCATTAATTATTTCTTTACCTTATTTTTTATGCTTTTTTAAAATTTTAAAGCTGTTTCTGTAAGGTCTGGATATGAAACTAGATAGAAAATCTAGTACTATTCCTGTCCTAATAATTTTTGTTAGTGATTTTTATTAGAGATTTTAATTTTTAAAGTTGATTTAAACTCACAAAAAAAGGGGATTGTTGTTTAAACAATCAAAGAAATTGTAGCCTCACAATAGGGGGTATCAAATATAACCAAATCCACCATTATTTAATTGACTGGTTTGAAAAAATCCACCCTTGGTTAAACGTGCTGGTTATTCATTTAACCCCTTTTGGGGCCCTTTGATGCAAAAATATTTTTTGATTAAAGTGACTGGTTTCTAATGGTGGATTTCCTATATTTGATACCCCCTAATATTACTTGTTAAGAGGCCTAGAGTTGAATTTTAATCAATACTCTGAATTCCAAAGGAGGAATTAAGGAGGAGTGAATCCAAGTATATTAAATTCTGTGATTTACACAAAAAAAATTCAATAGTTTCCCCTTTCACAAAACCTTGGAAAAAAAGTTTGAGGTCTGGTTCTAGCAAATTGCTTAACCAACCTTCCCTTAGCCACCTCCATTCACACAAGCTAGCCCTCCAACTCCAGCATAGCCAGAGCAATTGGACTCAGTATCCAGCCCATGTCAAGGCATGGGTCAAGAACACTGGACATGAAAGCCCCCAGCCGCATCAAGTGAAGCAGGCAAGTGGGGGGCTAGCGCGTTAACTTCCAAACTGTACAACTGTAACAGCGGGAAGGGAAGGGAAAGCCTTAGGGGGAGCTCGAAAATCTCCGAAGCCTAGACAAGCCCTCCTTTTATACACACCACACCACCAAAGTAGGCTCTCCACTGTAACTAACCTGTCGACCATCGACACAAAATGTCAAGCCTTTGGACCCTTCATTTGCGAGCCAACCAAACCCTTCATCGTACACCTCCTAGCCGAGCGCACTACACAACTAATATCGCCCCTCAACTCTCCAACATCAGCGCAATGGGTCCTTTGGAATGCAAGGCAGTTGATGAACCCTTCCTCCTTCCACAACACCGCTAGAGATACGATAGAGGAACGCCACGCTCTGCCCTATTTCTCATTGTAAGTGCCTCACAGCCATACTGTTAGTCTCATCCACTGCATACTCATCCATCTCACCTTGGGCACATACCCAACCAGGCCATGGTAAACCGACCCGATCAAGCCCCGCAATGCCAACCACCCTTGCAAAACTTACAGGCTCACCATTAACTACGAATGGCTCAACCAAGAAACCAGGGTTACCTCATCGGCAATCCTCAGCGTGTCGTAATTTTGGCATCAGCCTCCCTCCTCGCTCAGCCACTGATATATCCTTATACTTCCCAACAACCGCAAGGATCGGATAACGCACACCTCCTGGCAAAACCAGTCACAACCGGACAGCAGTACGCCTCGCCGTGGCAAACCCCCCTCAAAACCACATTCACTGTCCAAGGTACGCTGATAAACTTAATCCAACAACAGATGGCTTAACTTCACTTTCCCCAAAGATGATAATCTAACGTATCTGGTCCATTTACCACCAGCTGGGCTAGTCGACAACGTCACGCCTCGTCACCACAAGAAACCAAAAATTAGGCCAGGCCTACTATTTAAATCCGCCTCCACATCACCCAGCAACTCAGTTCAACTCGAAACATACCTCTTTTGCACTATTTAAGCGCCTGTAACATCCTGATTGACCTTCAGCTTATCACATAACCTCAATACATCTCAGCACATACTTAACACCACTCACCACAACCTCATTTTCGATACCCTTCTCGACTACTTATTTTCTAATACGCGCCTTCCCACCACACTCCGCCTTTCACGAATATGTCTGTTGTTCGGGCTCCCAACCATCCTGCAACTTTCAATGGGCATTTCCAACCCATAGCCGATGTATGTCAAATCCATCCATCCTCCCCTTTTTGCTCAGCTGACCCCTTCGATCGGTCTATCGCCGAATCTGTCCGCGCAAACCAGTACAGTTATGTGAAAACCACCAGTTTTTTCCAATGTGGAGGTATCAATTCCGAAAAGAACGAAGACTTCGAAGTCGAGCTTGTCACAAATACCGCACTCAACAATACATTAACTGCAGACTCTATCTACAGTTTAAGTGGCAAACTCATTGCGCTCAATGATGGATCGACCCCGATCCTCTCCTACTTTCAAGATACTGTGGTCCGTGTTGGCCCAACTGGTCAGGCCCAACCTGACTTCACCAACAAATCAACTGTGACCAGCCTTGGGATGGTCACTTCCCGCCGGGAGGTCGCCTCAAATGCTTCAGACTCTGGTAGTCACCTAGAAGTTATTGTTGCGCATTGTGATTGGGACGGCCAAGTAAGATTTGATTTTCCTGTAACCCATTCACTAAATTACTCATCATTACATCAATTCAGGAGCGAGTCCATCGACGTTTCAACATTAAGTACATTGTCCCTGGTACTAAAAACCTTGTGAAGACGCATACCTTATACCAAGTCGGCCGGGAAATCAATATTATTGGACAATTAGTCGACTTTCACATGGAGGACCATATGGCTGTCGTAGTTGTATGTCTTTTTACCAAATTTACCTTATGAAAACATCTTGACATCATTGACTTTTCAGGTCTCATTGGTCTCCGTAACATCCGGACACCAAACTGGCCGAGTCAACACCAGTAATCCAACCGCATCCAGCTCTTCTCCCATTCAAGGAAGAAAATTGTGCGTGATTTGATCCAACACTATTGATTATTTTTCAGCTGACAAAACTTACTTGTTAAGTACTAAATTTTTGGCAAAGACAAATTGTTCAAGTGGCCCGTCAACCCCCCAAGCCAACAAGCAAACGTTACCCATGCAGTCTACTTCAGGTGCCACATCAAGCTTGCAGCGGGGCCCGACCCCCGATCTAACCACAAAAGGAAAGTCAAAGGCGATGTCTGACTCTGATACTGACGTTGACAAGCCCTCAGACAATGATGGATCTGAACACAGTGATGACAATGTTCATGATTCCCCTCCACCGCAAACAAAACGTGGGCGTCCACGCAAGAATATCGTCAAAGAAGCCGCCAAAAGGATGAGGAAGCATTGATCTGACCTCCTCGACAGACCCTTTCCCCGACCTTTCACCAGACGGAATAACATTTCCCTTCACCTCTGTATAGCTCACACGTATCCTCACATCATCAACATTTTATGAATAACAGCATATGAATCTGGATATAGAACTCACTCTTATAATCTCATCTTCATTGACTCCTCTTTGATGATTCAATATCGTCTCTTTTTCATTGTGAATAGTCTAACAATTCAATACAACCCACTTACTTGAACCTTGTACATAGAACTCAACCTTAAAATCTACCTTCATCGACTACTTTAGGACAATACAATATCGTGCCTCTTTCAATGTCAATAGTTTAACCATTCAATAAAACCCACTTACTCAATATGAGAAAGCTGGCCCAAATATTAAGTGAGAATTTCATAAATGAATGTGATCAATAAAGTCAATGAACACATTGCTCTATTATAACTTGATGTGGCAGCATGTCACCGAAACCCACTTAAGACGCCGGGAATTCGTCCGGGCAATTCAAACAGTCTCATACAATTGAGCGTCCTAATTCCAAGAATTGTGCCGATTGCTTGGTTATGCATAAGTTCCATGCATTTTTGCACAACGAGTGCCTTGCGATACATTGAAAAAATTTTCATTTTGCACAAAGCTGAAATTCAGACACTGTCTCCAGCGACCGACGCGCTCACTCGGCAAACGACGTTGACTTATAGTAAGTAAGTTGAATCGAAGCCTCGTTTTAGGCTCACCCCTACCGATGATTTCAGCTGGTTAAAGACTTGGCGTTTAGAAATATTGCAAACAGATCCAGACACCGAACCAACTCGCACTCCCATCGATTCGAGCTTATAACCGTGCGGTCGCAAATCGTCTGGTTAGGCCTTACACTCGCTGAACTCGAAGCATTCACTTCTCTTCCAGTTAGACTTCTATTTGCACACGGCAGGAGTCTCTCACTTAAGTAGACATTTGGGGCAAGGAAGGCTCAATTCAAACATTCAACTTTTACGCAAACGAGACAGATCAGTGAGTTATCGTCTGGCTCTTTTTAAACAGGTCATCCCATCAAAAATTATCGTTAACTATTTGTTGCCTTGACTTTCCACCTCACGCGTGTCAAAAAATAATGATGTAGCCTCGGCGATTCTAAACGGTAACGACTATCTACCACTTATAGCGTAACATCATCACACTACGCGTCCTCCTCGCTTTATCGTTCGCATCAAGAATTGAATTTAGATTGGCATTCACCTGTTGAGTATCAACGCTGGGCCACTACGCTACGCTACGCTAAAGGGCCACTTAGCGTTAGCGTAGCGGCGCAAAAACGGGCCCTTTTTTCTGTAGTGTTAGCGTGCCGCTACCGCCGCTACGCTACGCTACGCTACGCTGTAGCCCCGATAACAGGCGGCCTGTTTCTGGGTAGTGTTAGCGCATCGCTACAGCCGCTACGCTGCGTTACGCTGCGCTACAGCGCTTTTAGCGGCAAAATAGGCAAAAAACCCGCTAAAAAGCGCTGTAGCGCGGCGTAGCGGGCACTTTTTTGTGCCCTGAGCGCGTAGCGTTAGCGCAATTCCAACTTTCTGCGCTAAAGCTACGCTAACAGCTAACACACTTTTGTGCCCTTTGCACGTAGCGTTAGCGCAGAAAGGTGGATTTTTTGCTAACGCTACGCTACAAAGTAGCGCATTTCCGCTGCGCTACGCCACGCTAACGCTACGGTTAGCGTAGCTGGCCCAGCGTTGTGAGTATTATTCGCCCGTTCTATCATTTGTTGAGATTGCGAGGACCTTTCACGAATTATCCCTAACCGCATGTCTACAGTAAGACTCGCATTGAACTAGGCCCCGCCTCTATCATCTTATCGCTTCGCATTAAGAATATTATACATTCCGTTCGCAATATCTCGAACCGACCCGCTAGACAACGAATTCAAACGTTAGGTGTCCTCGGTCTAGCGTATTTTTGTGTTAGAACATGAGTGAGACTTATCATCGTTTATGATTGACGTCAACAGGTTACAGTTCATCTCAATTCAGACTCCCTTAACTAACCCGACGTCTGCCGGTTATCTTTCAACTTGCTTTATAGAAGTGTAATTTGAATAATTGAGGATAATCGCACACCGCACTAGGCCTCCGTCGTTTTATCACTCCGCATCAAGAAGACGTGAAATTTTGATTGCAACAACCGACCCGAATTCTTAGACAACATTTTGAAACGTTAGTTTTCTTTGACTTACCATTAACTTATATTGATCGCGGGTGGGACATGTTCTCATTTAACCCTATTGCCAACTGCCTACAGTCAAACCAGCCCCATAGTACTACTCAGATTCAACTAGGTGCCTCCCTCGCCTTATCGCTTCGTATCAAGAAGACCAAAAATCTCGATCGCGATATCCCAACTGAATTGCTAGACGTCGATTTCATACGTTCGTTGTCCTTGGCCTATCATATATTGGAGTTAGAATACAAGTCGGACTCATCACCGTTTAACACTGCGCCGACTGCTTACAGTTTCAACTCAATTCCAACTCAATTAACTAACCCGGACGTCTGCTGGTTATTCTGATACTTGCTTCTTCCAACCCCTACACCAAACGGCTACGTCAATTGTGTAATCGCTCAATTGGAATAGTGGAGGATAATCATACTTTGGTTTTCATTAAGAACGACAGCCGTTATCAACTCAACAAACTTTCCACACCAAGCGTCGGGAGTGTCATCTCTGATTGAGTGTGATAGTAGGAAACTTTTTGCGCCTTGACGATATGACAGCTCTACGGAAAGCCTACCTGGCTGAAAGGAAAAGGAAAAATCGCTCAAAGAAACATGCGGAGGAGCAAACAAGCGAGTTGTCATTGACATTGGATGATACCGAACGCCGGCATACAATTACGAATCGCAATAGCATAAATCATCATGGAGATAAGCGACCGGTCGTTGAGCCTATTGATCGAGCTATACACGCACGTCAAGACAAGATTACTTGGTCTTCAAAGCGTTACATTAAGCTTGAACTCTTCCCTCACATGCTCGGTAATAATCCCGATCGACTACCGACAAATGCCAAATTTGAATACTGCAATAACCTTATCAAAAACTTCAGACTCTTCAACCATGGAAAAGTTGTCATCCACGATAAGAAAGACAAGTCTAAAATTATCGCCCTGATCGAGTTCACCCCATTCGACGAGATGACGCCTAACGGATTAGCCGATATTAATTACATCACACGGTTTTTGCATTCGGATAAACAATTCGTCAATGCAGTCGGATCAGAAACGAGATCATGGGGAGGCAGAATGTTTGCTATAGGCTGGAGAAAGGCTATGGTTGGATTCCCGCTGATTGGACTTTACCGCAATAAAGCCGCAATCGACCGTTCACCTCAAGCTTACGAATCTCTCATGAAAAAATCCGAACAAGCTTCAAGTATCCTTGGTCGATTCTTTCGACAACTTGCCAATGTTGCCTTTGCCGATAACCAAGAAGTTATGAATCAAAATTCTATTCCATCTATCGGCCAGCCGGACTTTGGAATTCCACTGGGAGACGACAACTGCGCGCCTAACTTAACATTTACTTCGGATGATTTCTTCAACCCACCTCATTGTGACACCGAAGACTTATCCGAATTTGCCTTTGGCTTGTTTACACCAGTGAATAAAGGCGACTGGTCTCTTCCAAATACGCGTCAATTCTCACCAATTCCGGGACGCACCTTCGTTTTTCCGGACTATAGATGTGGCATTGATTTATCCAAAAACAATGGAGTAGTGAAAATGGTATGGCGTGCCAAGGATGTTCGACATTGCACCATCTACTTGGCAAATACATCGATCTACAACCAAATAGGGATGTCCCTCCAAATCAACAAAAAGACAGCAAAAACATCCCACGATATAAAATCAGGCAGCATTTATGAAAGACCCGCGTACAAAGATGTGCCAAAAGACAAACTTTATATTGGTAATGTCCAACATTATGTTAAAGGGCTACTTTAATTTCATCCCTCGCCTCAGCTTCGAACAGTCGTTTCCACTTTTTTGTTACCCCAATAAATGGGACATGTGTTATACAGTGAGTATATAACCACAGCCCTCTAATGTGTCAAAGTCATGAATTAGATTTGTTTGACTTTAATGGAAAATCATGTTAATCTTTTTTGATTGTGTGAAAACGTCATATGCGAGTGAGTTGGGAGGCCATTTCCCAAGAAGTTTTTGATAAGGCTCATTTGATTCTCTGAATTTGGAGGAGTGCTAATCACGATATGTTTGGTCTGATAAAGGTCAAGCCTATTGAAGAACATGAATGTCAGATGATTTTGGAGACTCTCAAGTGGCCTCGCCCACTTTAATAACTGTTTAGGTTGATTTGACTTGGTGCGGAGCAACTGTAAATAACCAGGGCTGCAATTCACCATAGAGGCTTGACTCGGCATTATGCTGTCAAGTGCAGACAACACCCAATAACTGGACCAGCCATCTCCGAATGCAGTGTTAGCAAGGCAGCATACAAGGTCATTTTGCCTAGCCATTGTCTGAGCGTAAGGACTACAACATTTCTATAAAACATTAAGATATTTCCTATATCTTGGCGTCTCACTTATCACCCTCCTACCAATTTTCCTAATTCTCCATTGTAGTCGAAAAACTAGATCTATCGACATGACAGTTCAAGCTCCATACATAAACCTGTTGGTTAAAGGATTGAATGAGATATCCCCTCTTGATTTCTCTGGCGTGTGTAAACTCGAAATGAAGGTAAGGGAATTTGCATATCGACTTATGTTGTACTAATATCATCTTTGGTTCAAAAGGAAAAATCATTCGACTTAGACAAAGGCGTATGCAATATATACTTGATCACAATGGCGGCTAAATCATCATCATACAACGACACTCAGGGTGTATACCATAAACATGAAAGATTGATTCAGACGATCGTCGCCTCATGTCTAGAGGATTTTGGCCATAACTTGTCATTAGGTCTGAAGTATAAAGTTAAAGGGGTCATTCTAAGGGACGACTCCTGTGGGACCACGTGGGAGTTTAATCCGATGCTTTTGAAATTGTCGACAAAATCACGTCACCTCATCGTAACAGGCACTGGACGAGTCAACACTGTCAACTTAGGCTGCGCTGCGGGAAAAGACGAACCTGCACAAGATGAAGTTTTGGTTAATCATCAACCATTAGTGAGTTTAAGACTTTGCCTTTTATGTTTTAGCTGACACTTTTTATCAGTACTTCGCCTCTCTAATCCAGCTGCGATTAATTATACCTAAACATGAATCGTCGTCCATCAACTGGAATGCTATTCATAAAGGATCGGCCCTGGATTTTTCCGGGCAATTCATTGGGGAGGAAACTGAGTCGGGAATCATCAGATTACTTGTAAGTTTCAACAATTTTTTATCCTCCGAATGATACTGAACCCTTCATTTCTAGATTCAGCCGACTTTATAGGAAGTTGTCCTTAAATACAGTTCACTTTCGAATGATGGGAAATACTCCCCTCATCGACTCTCCAACTCAATACCAGACCTTCCACAAGAACTGTAACTCGAGTAGTTGTAATTGTTGTCATGTAATTATATTTCCTTGGCCTTCAACGGATGAAATGACAACAATAACCGCTGTCACCTCGTACATGAATATTCCTGAATATGTGATTGGTGCCCCCCGGGGGGTTGAGATTCAAGAGTAAGCTGGGGCGAGGGAAACAAAGTGCTAATTCCATGTAACCTCAACACTAAGCAACATTAATGATGATCCAATCGAAAGCAAAGATAACAAATAGTACCTCTCCTGATTTCGAATCGACCGCTCACCTCAACTGTAATTATTCAATCCCTTATAGACTCAGAAGATGCAACGATCTGTGTGAGTCATGCGGTGCGCTCCATTGGCACGAAGAAGCAACTCTTCTCGACCGAAGTAAAAGGACAAAATCCTATTCGACTTGCTGTCAAAAGAACAATTACCTGATTTTGATGCATCGGCTCCGAGGTACCCATCAGTCCTGAGGAAAATGTTAACTGGAACCTCAGAAGGTAAGGATTATTTTTAATTTTATGATCACTACTAACAGCCTTGATTCAATTAGATGATGTCAACTTTCAACAATCAACAAGGATGTACAACAATGCAATATCTTTTACATCATTAGGTGCAAAAATCGACCACTCAGTTCAAGGTCCAATGGGAATAAACATCATCAAAATCTCAGGTGCCCTTTCACATCGTATTTCCAGCTTGGAACCGACTAACGCAGCGCCTGGGTTTTCACAAATATACGTCGTTGGTGACAATGGACTTGGTGAAGCCGAATATAGGCTTAATTGTGCCCTTGGTCGAAGCAAGGATGAAGTCAAGAAATCACGTATGAAACAAGGTACAATTTTGATGCTCGTTCACTTAATGGGGAAGATCAACCCCTACGCAAAACGTTTTCGATCGGCTCTAGACGTGCTCTCAAAATCGAATGCTCAAACGATCAGCTTGGCGGGCGTCCCGAGGGCGGGGGTTGACCCAAAGCGGTACAACTGTCCTACAGTCGATGAAGTAGGAGTCGTGATTCAAGGCAATGGCGACATTATCGGCGAAAGACAAATTGTCCTCCATCGCAAGGACGATTGTCTCGAGAAGATTTCAGACATGCATTCCTCCTATTTTCCTCTCCGATACCCAAGATAACTTGTACAGCGCTTGGAAGACGTGGTGAGCAACTTGCAACTACTGATAATCTTGACTACAAATGTTTGATTTCATGTTGACTGACATCTTTTTACAATGGTTGTGAATTTTTAGTTAAGGATAGGAAGGTGGGCTCACTCGAGTGGTTCGCGTACCTCCTGTTCAGACGTCAAAAGAGATTTTCACCGATCCTAGCCGGCCGTTCCCTTACGCAAGAAATACTTGTAGATATGTATGTTTGCGTTGAACGGGGACGACTCACCTTTGTCACAAACAATCAAGGCAAGCTCAAAGCCGCAAACTATAAGCGTTTGATCAATTCTCTTGAAAATCAAGGCCCCATAAGTGGACGATGTGTCATTCTGCCTTCTTCATTCATCGGAAGTCCTCGCTGTATGCAACAATTATATCATGATGCTATGGCTATCTGCAGAAAATTCGGACCACCCTTGCTCTTCATCACTATGACTGTGAATCCGAAGTGGGATGAAATTGTCAATGAAATCCCTGCGGGAGAAAAGGCCTTCGATCATCCAACAATTGTCGCCCGGGTCTTCTACTTGAAGATGAAAGAATTGATACACCAAGTAGTAAAGCTTGAAAGGTTTGGGAAGGTCTTAGCCTATGTCTACACTGTCGAATTCCAGAAAAGGGGGTTACCTCACCTCCACTTAATGGTTACACTCGACGAGAAGGATAGACCAGTCACGCCGGAGGAAATAGATGCTATCGTTTCGGCGGAACTTCCTGATCGACAAAAATCACCAAAGCTCCACGCACTTGTTACTGAATTCATGTTGCATGGCCCGTGCAAGGGTCGCCCCTGTTGGAATGGCAAGTCTTGCAAATTGGGGTTTCCGAAACCTTACTCCGAACGAACTGTAAATGTTGATGGGGCTTATCCTGTTTACAAACCAAGGGACGATGGCGCTCGCGTTCAAAAGAATACCTCAACATTCAATCATGGAGCAGTTGTTCCATATAATCCTTACTTAACACTGAATTTCCAGTGTCATATAAACGTGGAGGTTCCAGTCAACACAACGGCCATAAAGTACCTGTACAAATATATTACGAAGGGACATGACAGGATGGCATTGGGTGTTGACTCTCAGGATGAGGTCCAATCCTTTGTTGATGGGAGATACGTTAGTGCGGTTGAATGTAAGGATTTCACTCAACTTCAATATGACAATAGCTGATATAATGATAATAGCCGCTTGGCGCCTTTACAAGTTCCCGCTATCCGACAGGTTCCCGGCTGTGACAAGGTTAAATGTCCATGATGAAGACGAACAAATTGTCTACTTTGAGGGGGACGATGGACTTGCAGGCCAAATCAATAGTGGAAAGGCCAACCGAACGACGCTGACTGGCTTTTTTGAGCTCAATGCGACGAATGCCCTGGGAGCCAATGGAGTGCCGGCAAGGTCAATATTTTATGAAGACGTAGCGGCTTACTTCTCGTGGAATAAGTCAGAAAAGTGTTGGGTTGCAAGAAAGACCAAAGCTCTGACTGTGGGGCGGATTTTTTCGATATCCTACCTCGCGGGTGAAAAGTTCTACCTCCGCGTGCTCCTCCTGCACCGTAAAGGTATCACCTGTTTCGCCGACTTGAAAATTGTTGACGGAGAAGTTTTGAATAGTTATCAAGACGCGTGCAACACCTTGGGCCTACTGGTAAACGATTTCCTTTACGACCAAGCTTTACACAAGGCGGCAATGGTCCGCTCGGGGTTTCAACTAGCGCAGATGTTTGCTATGATCTGCATTCATTCTCCTCCTTCGGCACCCGTTCAATTGTTTGAGACGCACTATCTAAACTTCACCAATGATTGCAGTCGGGTTGACATGAGGAGGCGCCATAGCAGGCAATTAAAGGACGAGGAGCGACGAGTTCAGGCATTAATGCGTCTGGCGGGGCTTTTGAATGGGATGGGGGGATCTCTCGAATCATGCGGCCTGAGATTAACACGGAAGGAATGGAGGTTGCTCCGTGACTTAGATGCAGAAAAGGAATGTAAAGAAGACTCAATATCAATCTCGGCGAGACTATCAGTTAATATTTCATCCTTCAATCATTCTCAAGGTTTTTTTTTCCAAAGGATAAAAAATGCACTAGATGGTAATCATGGTAAAATGTTTTATCTTGATGGACCTGGTGGGACTGGGAAGACTTACTTGCTTAACAGTATAATTGATTTGGCGAGTATTGGTGGCGACGCTTGCATTGTATGCGCCTCATCCGGTGTGGCAGCTCTTCTGTTGACGAATGGACAAACAGCTCACTCGACCTTTAAAAT